AAGGACGTTATAGGTCGTTGAAGGGCTTGTCGGTAACTTCTCCTTAACCTGGTTGTAAGGTGTTAGTTGTTGGACTAGTTGAGATACGGTTCCTCTACCCACTGTACAATGCCCAATCCAAAATTGGGATCCCAAAAGCCTAGTGGTTCTGCGCGGGTCTGCGGGGCGGTTATTTCCGTGTCTTGACGTCAAAGTCTCACCCGGAAAATAACACCGGTCGGATTTCCGTGGTGCGACACGTCTACTTCGTGTCGACAGAGATCCTAAGTCCTGTAGAACTAACTAGGTGTTCGCCGTTGGCGGACGGTGTGGACGACTCCACCCCTACGCTAGATAGGGCCGTTCCTTCTTCCACGAGTGATGAGTGTCTATATTAATATGTGTCTACACTGTATCTCATCTTACCATATATCACATATCTTTACTATCTTAGTTAAACTCTATGTAGATACTGGACCTCGGTTGTGTGGTTTCACGACGGTAATAGTAAAAACAATCTCACATGGGTATGTGTGGATTCGTTTTTCTTTTGGGGTTTTTCGTAGCATCGCTGGGGGGGAAATTTAGTCACGGACGGCTTAAGAGCTCGTCGGTCATCTGCGAAATGTGAAAGAGAGAGTTGCTAGCGAGGCAGGGGTGAACGATACAGAGCTCGAGAGATGGACGCCGGAGAAAGGCAGTCTTCTTCTTCTGTTACTTTTACTCTTTTAGTTTTTTCTATGCTTAAATAAAACTTCGATGAGACTCATAATACTTATTGTATTATCTTATTTTGTACTCTCATACTAATGTCCGATGGAATTCCTTGTGTGGGAAATAGCAGTAGCGTGAATAGATTGTCTTCAACCAATGAGACGTCCTATCTACAGTGGGGAGGACTATAACTTAGAGACCATGGTCTCCGTATCTGTTTTTTTGGTCTTATCTGTGTATCTCTCTGGAGAGTTTTAATATAACGACGTTTCGGATAAGAAGAAGGTCGACGCACGTATCGTGGCTCTGTGTTACCTCTCACACTCTCGACGTCGTCTCTGTCTATCTTGCCCCTAAAGTGTCGTGTTTTTTGTTTTGTTGCTTATGTCTCTCTCTAGGTAGTCTTAGTATGCGGATATGTGGTATATCTCTTGTCGACTTTCTTGTCCGTTTTATTTTCTTAATGTTGCTCTTCCTCTGATACGCAACAGGTGTTCGATCATCTGATGCTACCTCTATCGCAGTGATAATTTTTAACCGCCCTTCTTCTTTATTTTGCTATATATTTTAGTATTAGTCGTTTGTCTTAGTGCTCTCAGTATCTTCTCTTCTTCTCTCCCTCCGTGTATGTGTGTGTTGCCTTTTGGAGGGGCGTGTTTGGACACTCGTTTATCTCAATATGTCTTCTTCATAGTAGGAGAATACAGTGCTGAGCTCTCATCGCTGCGTAAAGCAGCTGTCGGAGGCGCGTGGTAGCAGTGCCATTGTGTTTTGGGACCGGTGTTCTCCATGGAGTTTGTCTAAGTTCAGTCGTTCTAGCAAGTCTTTCGACTTCCTTTTTTACATCAAAGTTTGACAAGTTCACCCTATTTGTTCTACTGACTCATTGCAGATTCATGCCACTAAGTAGACTTAATATACCTCAATTGATTGCTATAAGATTCGATATGTATATTTACGCTCGTAAAGACACAGGTTCACAGTTTTTCACTTTAACTAACAGAATGGAGGGTTAGTTCAATGTCTAAGGTTTAAAACTTATTTGATTAAGTAAGAAATTATAGTTTAATAATGTCGATTCCGGAGAAACTTCCTTGAGTTGTGATGGATTACGTATGCTGCGAGAAAAGTATGTGATTGCTATGTGTCACTCTTTTACTTCTTCACAACGTGTTTGTTTTATTACAAATTTTTTAGTTGCCGTTGTGGTCTCTTTGTGTACTGAAACACAAATTATTTTTGTGAATTATTGAGTAAGTAAGTTCCCGTTTGTTTCCGTCACAACCCACTCCGGGGCATTTCTTTTTGTGAGAGTTTGATCGGGAGGCGTAACGTAAAGATACTCTCTGCGTTGGGTTAACAAAGTATGTTTAGTTACTGTGCTCTAGTAGACTTCACGTAAGTGCGCTCGCCACGGGTCACTGCACATCTCCATAGGTAAAAGTCCTACCGTGTTTGACCCTCGTTCCGGATGGTGGTCCTTCAGTCTCTAACTCCTTCTGAACTTGCGACGAACATCTGCTTTGGACTCTCGTCTCCTCGCCTAAGTTTCTCTCCACTCCCTTGCGACAGTCGCTCCACCCACTGTTTTCTGGTAGCTGTGCGACGGTCGCTATCTGTTTCTCCATACAGGCCGGCCGTTCTGGCTACCCAATGACATTCGGTCTAAGGCCCTCCCGATGTCCTCGAGTGTACAGACGACCCATAAACATATAATTGCGCGACTACCTTGACCTGGAACTTCTGAAGACAATGTGGACCGTTAAGTCCCACTGTAAGGACCCGTACCATGGAAACTCTTTTGTCATTCACACGTCATGAATCCACTTTATATTCGTGCGGACTATACCTGCCGGCTCATAAAAGGGCTGTCGTATACGCCGATCCAGAGCATCCCAAACATGCTCAATGGGTGACATGTTAGGGTTAGGGTTTAACCCTAGGGTTTTCGGACCCCCCCAGACCCCCCCAATAAAGCAAAACTGCACGTTTCAGAGTGGCCTTTTATTGTGGCCAGCCTAAGGCACACCTGTGCAATAATCATGCTGTCTAATCAGCATCAGGGTAGGATTTTCACGGCGGCCATGAAGGCCATGGCCGTCGTAGCCCCTCGGTCTGGCCGTTATGCCCCACAAATAATTGTACGTCCTACGGCCACCATGGCATGTGTGCCCCTCACACTGTTAAAATCTGGAAGTTGCTTTAAAGGCGTCAGAACAGTGGTTTCTGAACTGCATTATGCTGCGTTCACAACGGACGCGATGCGAATATTCTCATCGCTCTAACCGCTGGAGTTTCACCGCGGCTGTAAGCTGTGTTTACTCCTGTCAATCAAACAGGACGCGCTGGAGAGGGGGCGGGGCTTGTTTCAATGTAAATACTGTGGTGGAAACCAACTACGACAAAATGAACCCATTTTACAGTGATTTAATTGTAATACACATTTCAAAATGATGCTGAAGTAACTACATACTGATACCGGTTAGTAAAAAACATGAATTCATGCTTTGCCAAGTGTGCAGACAAGACGGCAAGCGAAAAACCTTTTCAAATGCGTGTTTTCTGAATGGATCAATCAGGCTAAACTAACCTGTAACTGCTCCGTCCGCACTCACAACAACGTCCTAAAGACAGAATTAAAGCAGCGATTGTATTCGCCATGACACAGACAGTCTGTGGTTTGTACATGTTTAACTTTTGTCCAGTTTCCGAACAGAGCTATGAGGAGTTGATTAAAGAGACTCTCGTACACACACACACTGAAGGCTGTTTCTTCTGCTCTGAAATTGAATATATTTGTTACATATGAATATAATTTTAGATTTTTTGATTTGATTTGTGAATGGGAGAAGTAGTAGATGGAAAACATACCAAACACTAATTATTCAAAGTAAAGTATTTTATATACTGTAATACTAAGGAGGCATAGGCCTATATGATGATATAATGTTTGACATTGTTGATATTAAAACAGTGATTTGTTTTCCATGTCATTCGTGTGTTTTTCTTATCAAAAAGTTAAGTTATTTATTTGTAAGCTCCAAATCCAAATGTTTCCCTCAATGGCCTTTGTGCCCTGGCATGTGGCCTTTGCGCCCTGAAAAAATGTGTGACACCAAAGGCCAAATGGCCTTGCCCCTAAAATGATGAAATTCCAAGCCTGATCAGCATCTGGATATGCCACACCTGTGAGGTGGGATGGATTATCTCGGCAAAGGAGAAGTGCTCACTATCACAGATTTTTTCAGATTTGTGAACAATATTTGAGAGAAATGGTTATTTTGTGTATGAAGAAAATGTTTCAGATCTTTGAGTTCATCTCATGAAAAATGGGAGCAAAAACAAAAGTGTTGCATTTATATTTTTGTTCAGTGTAGGTTTCATGTGCAAAGGATAACATCCCTGTGTTCCCCCCAGAGGGAGTTCCTCTCCCACACACTTTCCAAAGCCTGAAACTCCTTCATTTGATTCCTTTGTTTACATGTGTTACACAGTGACATCACTATGTAACTCTCACGCTTCTATTGGTTTGCACTACAACACATTGTACGTCATTAGCTAAGAGACGGGACATGTCTTTGTGGTTACACAGCCGGCCAGCTAACCAATCAGAGCAGACTGGGCTGTGGGTTTAGCCTTTGCAGACGATGCAGGAAAAGCTATATAACACACTAAAGGAAAGGGAAATCCCCCAAAAGAAGAGTAGGGCCTCTTTAAAATAGATCGAATAACTTAACAGAGTTTAAAGCACAGTGTTGATTTCAGTTGACTTGTGCTTCATTGTGAATTGAAACTTACAATGCGCTTTTGTTACTATTAAAAACTCCCACCCACCTGTTAAGCATGTGATCTTCAGTTTCAGCCAACATGAAATCCAGCTGCTTCTATTAAGTACAATGTCCATTAGACTGACTTTAAAAAAACGCTTTCTCCTTCACCCTCCGGTCAAGGTATTGACATTGTTTAATTATTCAGGAAGATTCTGCCATAGTGCTCAGTAACACTCCACGATTAAAAGGCTTTTTATCTTCCTTTTTGCAGAACCAAAGGATTCCTGCAGACATGATATTCCTGAGAACATCGGAGAAAAACGGTGAGTGTAAAGGGCTGAAACAAGCACTGCTCCCAAATGAATGACGGCCTTTAAATCAAATTACATTCATAAATCATCGCAGTAAATGAAACATAAATACGAATATACAATTAACAGACAGAATAAACGTAGCACTTTGACGAAAGTGTGTCCAGATCATTTGGGTGGCAATGTGACTTCACACACCACCAGTCACCAGCTCGTGATTCATATGATTTCTGTCACATTCTTCCAGTGAGTGATGATGCGAATTCCAATGAATCAATAAGCTGCGTCAGATTCTCGCTCCTTCCTGAGGGGCATCGGCAGGAAATGTTCTGAGGACATCATTTCCATCAATCTTTGATGTGCCAATATGCTTGGCAGGGAGTTGTTGATGTCTTTACAGTATGCCCGTACACTCTTACATAAACACATCTTTATATTTTCGTATGCTTGTACACACACACACACACACACACACACACACACACACACACACACACACACACACACACACACACACACACACACACACACACACACACACGAGTGATGCTTTAGTGCCGGTTCAGCAGAAGCAAAGCATGAATCCTCCTCCTTAATGTCCTCCATCATAGTGATCCCCCCAGGGATGGTTTATAGCTGCCCTTTACCCCCTCTGTCAAATAGTTGCTCTCATCCATCAGTTTCATATGTAATATTACCTCAGATCAATACAGGTCACGACTGCTCAACGTTTATCGGACCCTGCGGTGTCCGTAGCAGCCACACTTGCTCTGGATCTGCTACAGGCTGCGATGTACCATGACGTTTGTGATTGATATATGCTATTTTATTACAAATAATACCATGTTTTTACTTCCCAAGGACCATGCATAACAATACAACCATCTCCGAAAAGAGAAGAGATGATTTCTGCTGATTTAGTTATTAGTTCATTTCCATCTGAGACCTTGAGCAAGTCTATACCACACTAACAATGATAAGAATCAGATCAACATATAATTACCGGCACAAATATTACTACAATTATATTATATAAATTCAAAATGTAAAGACTTTAAGCTTGTGTTTTAAATGTTTTTTATATACGATTTCTGACAAAGATGTCTAATGATTTGACTAGATTTGTTTTTTTAACTTTATTATGAGAAAATGTTCAGAAATGTCGTTAAACTAACCTGCTACTGGGCACATGACAATAAGTATTGTCTGCTGTAATAAACCTTCAGCAGCACAATCTCTTAGCAAATGGATACAAAATAGCCACAAGATATGCTGAATTTAATATGTTTTAAATCATACAAAACTATCTGTGTGAAATTGTGAAACAGCCATAAAAAAACACATTTATTTTGCAGTCATTCAGTGGGAATGTTGTTAACAGCATTCCAACTAACTGTTCTTCTACGGACAACATTTTTATTATTATTCCGCCGGGTTATTTTGGCCCTCTTCTCCTCCCGCATTGAACACCGCAGAAACTCCGTTCAAACATCAAGACGTTCAGCTCGGTCGGGAATCGATTGCTATTACTTTTCTCATTCATAACTTTCATAATTCCAGAGATACATCCCATAATACATCAAATTTTTAACATTAAAGTCAATGGAGGAAATCTTCAACTTCAACAAATCTTCATGCGACTTCAACTGCTAACTGTTCATTCATACTTTCACTCAGAAACCTCATTCCAACTTTAAAATGTTACACATCTTTCTGACATTATTCGTGTAAAACAACTTTTAAATCTGATTCTTACTTTTAGAGATATTAAACATTGTTCAGACCTTGTTTTAGAGGTTTTCTTCACATTTTAACATTAACTAGAGTGCGTGATGTCACAGCTAGAGTGGAGGACAGCTTGAAATTCGCATTCATATATTTTTTTTAAACTGCCATAATTCCCAAACCCTACATTCCTGAGACATAATTTATCATGACAAACGTAGGAAAACATCTCGTAGCTTGAAAAATGACAAAT